AAGAGCCCCACAAAGAGTAAAGCCAAGGGCAAGGCTGGAAGCAGACCGTGGCCCAATGACACGTACATCTGGACCGCACACTCACTGGAAACGCCCCCACACGTGCCGCTCATTCGCCACTTTTCACAAATACATGCCCATGTGCAGGTAGGTTTGATGGCTGGATGGTATGGATACAGTAGGTAGTGTTAGGTCCCTGCTCCTAGCAGAGAACAGCACAACAAACTATTTACCATCCACCTCTGATACTAAAAAGAGCTGTTACAGAACACAGGTTGAGTTATTAAGTCTTGCAATCGTACTGAAAGTTTGAAAACGTTTCACTTTTCGCATACGATATGTAAATCAATACTTTTCCTTTGCCAGGCATTAAAGGAGATGCCTCAACCTATTTCAGGGTGATGGTCAGTTGAGGCTAGATCACATTGCACATGTGAAATCAAAAACATGTTGCCTTTAATTCTTCTCTCAGTGTTTTTTATTTGCCTCACCTTATCTTAATAAACCTTTTAGAGTTAAACAATAGAATACAATTGCAGAGCAGAAGAGAACTAGACTTTCAGCAATTTTTCAAGTGTCTGCTATCATAGCATCTTGAAGGAAGTTACAGTACAAAAAAGTGGAAAGAATAACACTGTATTGAGAAACATAACGCAATCTATGTCGCCAAATTAATTCCATATTTCAGTAATGTTCAAGGTAGTCCTGGAATCAAGATATATCAGACACTAAAGGAATGATGGGACAAAGACTACTTTTATCACTATTACTTATTCCCAAACTGCCCTTTAAGTGAAGCGCTGACAGCCTGAAGTGCTTCAGTGCTGTTCTGAACATAAACTTGCTCTCTGTGCTGTCTACAGAATTGCATTATATTTGTAGTGTTGTGACTCTCCCTTGAAGAAAGTAGTTCTCAGAATTGTTTGAAACTAATAGACCAAGCAGATTGTGGTTAAATGAGAGTTTTCTCGAAATAATCGGAACCTTTTATCGGAAGTTATCATCGCCCTGGTTGCCTTGACAAAAAGCCAATGGGGATTTTTCCATTTTTCCATTTGAGTTAGCCATCTATTAAGGTTGTGTTAACCGCAGATCCTATATCAGGCATCTTACCAAAAACACATTGACTTTGAGACGAGATAACTGGAAGTGTAAAGATGCTAAGTCCTTTCCGGGTTTAGGAATCATTCATGCAGCACTTTCTAGTGAGCTCAGGAAAAGCCTGTTACTCGCTGTTGGTTGGGTAGTCATTGTGCGGTACAGTAATCAGATATTGCAGGTAGTGGTAGTCTGATTAGCGTGATGACCATGGCCGCTCTGATTTGATTAGATCTGATTAGCTCATTAGTCAAATGGAGTTTTCTTGCACATTAGGAAGACAGAGTGGACAGTGATATTAGGAGTGGAGTCTGTTTGTGTGTATGAATATCTCAGCATTGGCCCTTTCTGCTCAAAATAAAAACCTAAAGTAAAGTCTTGACCAAGTAAGGTCAGATGTGGCAGAAAAACAGCGCTTTGAATTAATTCTTTAAATATTTTTGCGTAACACTCGACAGTCTGCTCCAATGTGGTTTGGGACTTTTCCTGTTTGCACTTCCTATGTTCTTGCATGTCTGAGGGATTATTTAGCAAGCTGCTCCTGTGGTCATCATTTAGATATTTCTGGATTCTTGATTTCTGTTTCATCAAATCACGATTCATTTGCTAATTAAATTGTCATGATGATGATGTGGAAGCTGAACCCAGCACTCTGCGCCAACACACACACACTCAAAACATTTCTTAACAACCATGCAGAGCATGAGAAATCTGATGAAAGCAGTTTGTCTCGTTGTCTAACGAACTCCTTCTAAGCTGTGCTGAACTGAACCAGGCCACAGTACCATGACAACACAGCTGGTGTAACAGCAATCATGTAACAACTAACATTCACATGCATAGTGCAGCAAAACACTGTCTGGATATGGATGGTGTCTGCGTGTGTGTCTGTGTGTTTGTGTATTTGTGTGTGAGTGCTTGTTTGTTTATAATTGCACGTTTGTTCTTTTGGCCTTTTCATGTAACACAACCACACACACACACAGTCATATTGATGTTACATAAGCCTGCAGTCTGACATGGCGTGTTAATGGAATAACCAGCGGATAGACCGACTGGATTTGTGGCTGTGTGAATGACACACACACACACGCGCACACACACACACACACACACACACACACACACACACACACATATAGACAAAGACACACACAGAGGTTGTGTGCATTTTGTACATTGCTGCTGTTACGATGGTGAAGGAGTCAGGTAAAGTTTAAGGGAGTCAATGGAACAGGTTAACTTTAGGCAGTTGCTTCTGTGAAGTCAGCATGAAGGTGTATTATGTTACATTAGCATCGGCTGAGATGACCCTGCAGTCAGATGAAGCATTTTCATCTGAACCAGTTCTGTTTTTGGTCAACATATTTAAAACACTCCTCATTCTTCACTGTTTTAGAAAGTTCAAACCAAACAACAGGACACATTTAGTTATTCTACAATAGCAGGAAACCCTTTGAAAGGTCAGATTTATTAAGGGACCCTTTGTGGTATTGATTTATCCTGATGTGACCTTTCTTTACAGCGTCAATCTGTAAGAAGTGGTGGAATCTGACTAAGTATTTACCCAAGTACTCTACTACAGTGCAATGTTTAGGCTACTTGTATTACCATATACTTCTTCTCCACTATATTTCAGAGGGAGCTTTCTACTTTTTACTTCACTGCATTTATTTGAAACCTGTAGTAAGTTAGTTAGCTAGATTGAAATTTTACATAAAAAATGACATCATGACTGAAATAAAATGTGATGAATTCAATAGTAACAACAGTATCCTGAGCCCTTTAGTGCTTCTTACCACTTTATGTCTGTAAAATCGAATAATATACCTCCGACAGAGACCATTCTGCTGCATAATGAGCACTTTTACTTTGTATGTGTTAACTACATTTTGTTGATAATAGTTCTGTACTTTCATCAAAGCAAATTTTGAATGCAGGACTGAAGATTTACCACAACAACGGCACCATTGAGTTTAAAGATGAAATAATTTGCTGAAAGTGTACAACATGAGCATGTAGCATTTTAATGTTTCATGGAAACAGGTGGGACGGACTTCAGAATATTTGTGATAATAATTATTCTGTATGGAGCATCATTTATCATCTTTACCCTCCACCTGTATCTCTCTCTCTTTCTCACCTTCATTCACATCAACACACCCGCACACACACACACACACACACACACAAAGATCCTAACAGCTGCAACTGTCAGCACAACCCTTACTGTCACCCCAATATCCACAAACTCTACTGTATCTACCCCCACCACCCCTCCCAACTCCCTCTTTCATTCATTCTGTGAATCTCTTTCCATGTCTCTTCTCCCACTATTATTTGTTTTAATCTTTTTTACTCATGTCTGTGGTTTTAAGGGGATGGGGGTGCATCTGTCTGCACCCTCTGCTCCACATTGCTGTTGTTGAGCAGGCACATTTGACTCCTCCCACCATACATACAGCATAATCCCTCTGATCCCCCCCCCCCCCCCCCCCCCCCCCCCCCCCCCCCCTTTCCCTCTCCTCTCTTACACACACACACCCACAAACACACACACACACACACACCCCCCCCCCCCCCCTCTCTCTCTCTCTCTCTTTCTGTTCCCGTGTGGGATCAAGCATCCTGTCAGCTTGACTGACAGACAGTTTGACATGTGGTGGAGAGAGAGAGAGAGACATGGAGTGAAATAATATATGTGTGTGTGTGTGTGTTTGTGTGTGTGTCTGTGTAAGAGAGGAGATAAAGGAGGGAGAAAGGGGGGATGAGGGAGGTAGAGATTAGTTCAGAGGGATAGATGCTATTGCTGCTCTGTTGCACATTGATGCAGTGAAGTGAAGACTGTGAGCACTGTCCATTTGGTTGGCTAGCTTGGTTGATGTTTGGTTATCTGGTTTGTTTGGGAAGTCTTTTTTTTGGGCTGCAGAAGAAGAGCTGGAGCTTCAGATTATCTCACGTGGACTGGCTTGGTCATTGCTGGTTTGTTGGAGATCACTCGAGCAGCAGACGCTGGACCGGCGAGCATTAAATACTCTCTGAAGGAGAAAGTGAGACGAGACCAGGGCGAAAGCGGAGACAGGTGGCGAAAAAAGGGTGGACTGATAACATGGGGGCTGGCGCTCACCTTGCAAATACATGGAGAAAGAAACTCCTTGTGGCTATTTATTAGGTAGTGTGAGGTTTACCATTTGCTGTGCTCACGTAGGAAGCAGGAGGAAAGACAATGTCAGTCATCTGCTGCTGCTTTAACCCCGAACTGTCCAGGCCTGGATGCTAGAAGGAGGCCAGGGAGAAAGAGGAGACTGAGCTTAGAGAAGAAGGGGGAGGGAGAGAAGGAGGGAGTAGACGGCACATGGGAGATTGCGACTGTTTATGTTTTTAATTTTGGAATTGATCAAATTAGATGGATCTAAGCTGGACATTTAATTTAGGACTCTACATGCGGTTGGCATACAATACGATAGAAAGTACTGTCGAGTACAGAACAGGCCATTAGAATACAATCGAAAATGTAAAAGTAGCCCAGGGTTTGTGGTGCCGTACTGAATTGCTACAGCAAGAGTACTTAATGGCCCAGTAACAGAGCTTTATAAAACAGTCTGTTACGTTGCAGTGCGGTTTGCAGTGTGGTACTTTGATATTGTCCACAATAAGGGCTGTGCAGTATGTCATGTGGTGTATGCTGTCGCTCCGTGGTGGTAATCTGTAGCAGATGTACTCAACATGCTGTACCAGAACATGAGACGAGTAAGTCAACATCACAGATCTCTGTGTGTTTACGTGTGTTTCTTACAGTAAACGGCATCAGCCATCTTGGTGAAATGCTGTATGTCTTGGGTTTTGTGATAATATCTTTCAAATTTAAAAGAGTTTAATCACTTTGCTGTTCTCTCTTACAGGCCAACCCCCCTCCAGTGGTGGTCAACGCGGACAGTGTCGACACCCCCCCATACGTGAGTACTGGTTCAAATATATGGTCTGTCAAATTTTAAGCTCCGCCCACCTGTGGACTTTGCACCCCACTGATACTTAAACGTCTGTCATAAAAGAACCAATGTGTATGTGTAGCTGCATTTTGAGGATGAGCTCCTAAATATGTACCACGGCCAGGCACGACCTCAATCAGACGCATTTATTAAATGTCAGTGTTGCCACTGTTGATACATTTTAATTGATCCAATCTATAAGGTTTTCACTCCTACAAGACGTGCAGTTATATTTCTAGTCAAGCTTACATATGGAATTCTAGTAGCATCTACTGTTATTGTGTAACTTTGTGAATATCCACTTCAAATGCTTTACTCTGTAAAAAGACAAGAGCCAAACACATGTCATGTGAACTTTTATTTTACTGTGTGAAGCACTTTCTGGAGCTTCTACTCTAAATGTTCGGTAGCTTCAATACTTCTCCCCCATACAAAAAAGACACAATAGTGATCCTGTATTTAGACAGAAAGCTGCGTCCAGAATTAAATGGATCCAGATGTCATTTTACTGGTAGCCAGCTGCCTCGGAGAATCAGTGTCTGCTGTTGTTAGATCAGTTTATTATGTAATTACTGTGAATTACCCCCTGCTGAACTGTCTGGGATATAATACAGAGAGAGAGAAAATGACTTCTCTTTTGCAGAATTCTCCTAATATGTCACTGACATGATTGTTGAATGTTGTCTTCGTCCAAAGAAGTGTGATTAATGTATGTATTATATATATATATAGAGAGAGAAAAAAACAGATCTATATTGTTAATATATTTGTTGTTGTTGCTGTAAATGAGGCAATGGTGGTATATTGACCCCTTTTCAAGACAGGGAAATAGATTTAAACACACAGCAGATGCACGAGGCTGTTTCTGCGTACTGTGCTTATAAAATTAAAAGCTTATTTTTGATATTCTGATAATTTCATGATGCTTTTCTTAAAAGATTAAATGAACTCTGTTAAGCAGGAAATATCACAATCATGTTTTAAGGGATTGGAACCTACAGCTTTAAGAATGGCAGAGAGCTATTATCGTCCTTAATTGTTTTTCAAAATAATCCAATGGTTTGTGTTTATAGTAAATTCATGTGGCCTTTAATCAGGTGCCCGGTCCGAATATGTACACACTGTTTGGTAGGTGATAACAGGCACACTGCACATTGTAGCTGATGGAAGATTGTGCTGTTTGAAACGACAGAAATTCAAAATCTGAACTAATCTGACTGCACAGAGACACAGATTACAGCCAAGGGGATTACATGGGCCATTGGGATGCTACTCGACCACTGTGTTTGTGTGTGTGTATGTGTGTGTGTGTGTGCGTGTGTGTGCATGCCTGCCTACAGCAGCTATAGCTGGAACAAGACACTCATCTCCCAGTTTAAATGGACTGGCAAAATATGTAATAGTCTGCTCGGATCGGATTTAATTCTGCATGTTGTTCATTCAGTCAGGGAATCTAGATGTTAATATGTTTTATAGTTCAGGCAGTCCTGGCTGAGTGGTGTGATTGGCTCGTGGGTAATTCAGCATGGATGTTCTTAAATATGACGTCAGAGGTACATCATCATTAATACGCATTACCAGTTTAATCTCTGGGATTCATGCGTCATTCATAAACTATCAAATGTCTAATTTGCCTTTTCTATAATTCTGCTGTTTGTTGCCATTTGTATTTATTGGTAATAATCAGCTCACATTTTGTTTTAGAGTTGGAAAGGAAAAATTCTTCAACTTCTGAATGCTGATAGGTGTTGAAAAGAGGCATATTTAGTGTCACATACTATTGAATGCACCTGCATGTTGTGCAGAAACGGTGAGATATTTGATGAAGCTGTGATAAACATGAAGGTTTTAATGCAACATGTGAGGGTGGTGGACCTGCTAAGAGCAACGACGTGACAGAGAGAAATACTGCTTATGAATTGTGAACGTGAAAAGCTTTTTCCAGATTTACTCTTAATATTTACTCTCTTAGTCTTCTTCTTCTCTGACAGGTCAATGGAACAGAAGCAGACTATGAATATGAGGAAATCACGCTGGAGCGGGTAAAGACTAACATGCAATGAAACACACCTCGAAAGTGCATGCTTATTTGATAAACTGTAATGTAATCAGTTATTAAATCAACCCCCCATGTCACAGTAACTCCATCTGTTTGGACTGACCCCTGTCCTCCAAACAGACACTAAAAACATTATCGGTGCAAGAGTGCCGATTTAAAACTAGGAGAAATCCTGTGCTCAGACAAAGACAAGCAAAGGTTGTCTCTCTCTCTCTCTCTCTCTCTCTCTCTCTCTCTCTCTCTCTCTCTCTCTGCCTCCATCTCTCCAACTTACTTCTTCTGTGAGATTCAAGTGAAGGTTAACAGAAAATGTTAATTGTTAGAACATGTTTTTGTAAGTCCAACGAAAACAAGAGCTGAAGATCATCAAAATAAATGTATGAAGTACACCAATATGTAATCAGTATACGGCATAATTAGTCTTGCAACGTGGGATAAAACTTAGTTTTTGGCGGATAAAACTTCATTCCATACCTGTTCATATAAAACAATAGCTTGTTGATAATTGTCACTTACTGCAAGCTGCAGAATAAAGACATTGTTTGGAGTGTAAGTGATTCGATTTCCTATTTAAAAGTGTACTGTAAAAATCATATGAAGATATTTAAATAATGGTGTAGTCGGGGCTAAATCCAGCAAACTTTTTAAATTTTTTCAGTTTCAGGGAAACAAAAAACATGAATTACAGTAAAACTGTATGTTTTTTTTACTGAGGTATTTTGACATACTTAAGTATTTCCATTCTTTGCTACTATATACTTCTGCTCCTTTACATTTCAGAGGGAAATATCATACTTTTTACTACACCACATTTTAATACTTATAGTTATTCTAGTACTACTAACGCCTTACATAAAAGACATGATATGTGCATATGTAATGATACACTATACTACAAAACTACCCAATAGTATACAAAGTATCTCAAATTGTCTTACTATTTGTCAAACTACAACATTAAAATGCTCTTACATGTACAGCATTTGTTAGTGATAAAAACACAATAATATAATATTTGATGAGAACAAAACACTGTGAAATGAGACATTCTGCATAATGAATACCTTTACTTTGATAGTTTAGGTTAATTTTGCTGAAACATTTAGTATTTAGGGATTCTACTTGTATTGTTAGACTATAGTATGTCTACCTCTACTTAAATGATCTAAGGACTTCTTCCACTGCTGTCAAAAAGTTTCTTTTGATCTGAAAAATCATTTGAGAAGAAAAAAAATAAGCTATTTTCATGTCTTGATTTTAACTACAAAGTTCATAAAGTAATTTGAATCCAAAGGATAAAAAAATATACATTTATAAAACCAGAAACATTATAGTCATAAAGCCTTTATCTGCTCTATGTCAGCTATCCTCTCCACCTCATCATTCTTCTTCCTTTACTTCTTCTTCCTTTACTTAGTCCCACCGCTGTCCAGCTCTGCTGACCTTATTTCCTGTCCCTCGTCCATCTTACCCTACTTTCTTCTCCTCATCCTCGTGCTCCCTCACCCATTATATTCCCCTTTTCCTCGCCCCGAGGCCTCTCTCTCTCTCTCTCTCTCTCTCTCTCGCTCTCTTTCTCTCTCTCTCTCCCTCTCTCCTGTGACCTGGTTCTGTCTGCTTGACTGGATCTGCTTTAAAGATACTATGGACGTACAAGCAAACACAGGCACAGACATTTCACTAGCTTTCAGTGACAACGCATGAGAGAGTGAGTGAAACAGACACAAAGTAAAGGCTTTCATCAGGTACCGTCTCCAACTGACAGAGGCTGTCTATTATGTGTAATTTGGTAATAAGCGACATCAAGAGAGAGTTGTATTAAATACATTGTTTGTTTGGGTGGTAGTTTTGTAAGTTGTGAAAATTTGGGAGATGTTAGCTGTAGTCTTGCAATGAATGCCGGTTAGATAATGTTGTATTTAATAGATGGTTCTTGGTAATTTTGGCAAATGGAAGAATAATTCCAGTGTGGTTATCTACTTCTTATTTAAAATACTGAGTATGCAGAGATGATGATTTCATGGCAGGGCAGATACATTTGTGTTAGATCATCGAAGCTTCTGACATCAGAATTGATCTTTAAAAACCAGTATGTATGTTCGGATGGTGTTTCTTTTTCCTTCATTAAAACACACTCTCTGTCTGTGTGCATGTGTAGGGTAACTCAGGTCTGGGGTTCAGTATCGCAGGAGGGACTGATAACCCTCATATCGGAGAAGACCCCTCTATCTTCATCACCAAGATCATACCTGGAGGGGCCGCCGCCCAGAATGGACGACTCAGGTACACAAACCCACGCCCTTAGCTCATTGTTATTCTAACCTGAACCAGAACCTAAGAATTCAAATGTTAACCTTGTTGAGACCAGCTTTTTGTCACCAGATAGGGGACAGTGACTGTGTGAAAGGATTTAGTCTTCACAATGCAAGTACAGCGTTAATGATCACAGCTGATTTGTGTTGCCTGTAACAACAGTTGTAAACTAAATCCCTCATATAAATTAGCAAAATCAGTGCAAATTGGATGGGCATCAAGTCGTTATTAAAGCTGCAACCCTGAAAGCCACGTTCAAAATACAGCAAAAACATTGAAGCGTGTAGTTTTTCTGACGTGCCCCTGAGCAAGGCACTCTTACCAGCACCTGAGAGCTCCTATTTCACAAAGAAGTGAAATAATCAAAAAAAACGTTGGTTCCTTTGTAACGGATAAATGTCTCCCAATCAGACTTCCAATTTCAGAGTGAAAGTCTAACATTTGAGTCCAGGAAGTGATGTGCATCATTTGTCGTCACTATGAACTCCTCATGCGACTTCCTTCCTGTATGTGACTTTGCCGTGCAGGGTGAATGACTGTATAGTGCGGGTAAATGAGACAGACGTCAGGGACGTGACCCACAGCGGGGCCGTGGAGGCGCTGAAGGAGGCCGGAGGTCTGGTCCGACTATGCATACGACGCAGGAAGAGCCTCACCGAGAGAATATTGGATATCAAGCTGGTCAAAGGGCCCAAAGGTGAGAAAGTACTACACATTGTAAACAGCACATACGGTGGGGTCTTAATGTCGTAAAACAGACAGTTTGGATTTTAAATGTAATGTTGTTTGAGGGTGTTGACATGCTTCTTCTGCTCCTCTACGTACTGCCTGCATTATAAAGAAACAAGGAAATAAAGACAAGGAAATAAAGACTGGTGCCCAGACAGAGTATGACGGAGAAAATATGATTGGGAAGGGGAAAGCTACAGAATATATGAAAGGGATTAGTTTACCTAATTGACTACCCTATAATTGAAGTCTATCAAAACTATGTATCTAAATGTCAGAACTGGTAAAAGGGCCCTAGGATGTGAAAATGCAACACTGCAGCAAATACAAACATATAACAATGTGAACATCCGTAGGAAACCAGGAAGTTATATACAAACATATGACCCGTTGATGTTTTCTCTCAGGTTTAGGATTCAGTATAGCAGGTGGACTTGGAAACCAACATGTCCCGGGCGACAACGGTATATACGTGACTAAGGTCATCGAGGGAGGGGCTGCACACAAAGACGGACGGCTGCAGATAGGGGACAAACTCATGGCTGTAAGAAACACCTTTTTACTACCCTTTGTTTTTTCTTATTATCATGTAAATGTTATCAGGTCTATTACGTACGCTGTAGTCGCCATCGAAGCAAAGTTTTATAGATTCACACATTGCGCAATTTACTTATTTAAAAATGTAAATCAAATGTAATACAGAAGAAGTTTGCATGAAAAACTTTCAGATTAGAATATGAATGCAGGTTAATTAGCCCCATTTAGGCAATGAACATCACTAATAGCACCAATTTCTACATGCCATGAATTGCTTTTACTGAACTCACGTGTTACAAATATTCCTTAGTAATGTCAAACATTTAATTATTTTCCCCTAATGAAACCAGACATGTAATTATTCCACAGCAACATTGCAAAATGTCGGATGACTTGTCCTTGTTTATAATTTAAATAGAGAATTTCACAAAAACAAGGCGCTTGCTCCCGTTTATTAAATCCTTACATATTACCAGTACTGGACGTGTTATATTGTAAAACTAAATTAGGTTTAATAGTAAAAGACAGTGGACAAGAGTATGATTGTATCAGATTGTTACACTTGTGCTCTACATCCGAGCCTGTTAAAAGGTGATTTAATACAGCTGCAGACCCATTCATTCAACCTAATTAAAGCCTGTTCTCCAGTAGGTTAATGTATCACAATCTGATTCAGGAGACATGTGCAGTCCATGGATATCATCCACACTGTATGATTCTTTTGCTGTCTGGTATGGACATAAAGTTGTCTACGTGTTGTCTGTGTGTTAATGCATGTCTGTACATCACGCGTCTTCAGGTGAACGCCTCTTGTTTGGAGGAGGTGACTCATGAAGATGCAGTGGCTGCCCTGAAGTCCACTCCGGACGTTGTTTACCTCCGCGTGGCCAAACACACCTCTGTTTTTATCAATGACAACTTCCCTCCGCCCGACGTCACTAATTGTAAGTCCACACACACACACACACACACACACACACACACACACACACACACACCTCTCAGTACAATACTCACCCATAATGCAGTGATTCATTTCATAACATGGGTTTGAGGGATCCTGCATCTCCCAGACTGCAAAGACTTTTATTCACAACGTCAGAAACAACTTGCAGTGAAACGATGCTCTGGTGATTGTAGCACACATCATTGCATCTAAGAGGCATTTTAGGGCCAGATGGTGTCAGACTATAAAGAACAGCGAGGAACAAAAGCTGTTGGTGGAGATTTTCTTCTTTGGATGGGGTTTGAAAAAGAGCACACATTTAGACTTTTCTTTAGAGACTCTTGCTGGCAATGTGACAGCACAGTGAGCTTGAATTGCTAGACCTCCATCATCAGAAGCAACCAGTCAAGGCAGCATGTTCAGTAGCTGATCCATGAGTTCAACTGTGAAATACAGAAGTGCTAGAGGAAGAAGCGAGACAATGGGATAGTTGAGGTAAAAGTAAAAGGGGACAAAGAGTGAATTAATCATTTGCTTTGCTTTTAAATGAAAAAGACCCCAACGTGGCTGAGGAGCAGCTCAAAAATGGCATCAGTATATGAGTGAACATTTTCTAACTGTGGTACTTGTCATGATAGCGTTTACTATCCTCAGTGAACATGTTATATAGATTTTTACTTTGGAGCTGAATATCACAAGAGGACTGTAGCCCTAAAGATGTATTACTCCACACACACATTAAACACAACATTTTGTATACTACTGTAAAAACAACAGTCCTGAAGTTACCTGAAAGAGTTTGAATATGAATGTTGTTGTTGAAGATGCATCCTAAACAATTCACTCTAATGATAATGCGCATTATGATAATAAAAAATACTTCCAGTACTACCAATAGGCTGATTTGAAACATTATATCTTTTGGTTTAAAAGATATACTGACGACATCACCCAGACAACGTTATATAATAGTCTGATAATCAGACTGGTTAAATTTGATCTACTGGATTACAACCAGTTGTCACCTCTCCAAATCAACATGTCGTTTATCACCGCTCTGAGTCTAACGCATTACCAAACAGTGTGTATCACACCACCGTCTCTCAACATATCTGCAGTACATCTAATTCGGAACCTAACTAACAGAACATGAAAGTACACAGTCAGCCTCTAAAGAGACACCAATGGGATGATGTTTTATGTATGACCGTATGGTAAAATAAGAAAAGAAATGTCTGTGTGCTCCTCCAGCGTACTCCCCACATCAAGACAACCATATAAGCCCCTACATGAGCGGCAGCCAGTCTGTAAGCCCCGCCCCATTGACCACGCCCAGATACTCACCTCTGCCCAGGGCCTTGACCGTAGACGACGACGTCAACAGGTGAGACTTCACACACACACACCTGCCCATTGATCAGAAGGTACAAACAAAAGATGATTCTCTGATTGGGACTTTTGTTCTGTAAAAAGCTGTAACTGACCTCACTCAACTTCTCCAAATATGACAGCAAGTCGACTTACATGCAAACATAGCAACATAATGTGTATTAAAACTTTCCACATCCAGACACGTTTTATGGTTTCAAAAATATGAATTGAGAGGTTGGTATTAAATTGAACTAAAAGGGGTCTGGCATCTTCTTATTGTTACCATTATTACTAAACAGGACACTTATTTTGGCAATTGGTCCTCTATTAGATTTTGTTGAATTCCCCAAAGGTTAATGCATTTGATGAGGTTTCAATGGAATATTTCAAATGGAGATTTACGTGCAAGAGCAGCTACGTGTAATGTAAATCGAGCTGTTCAGCTTTTACAGGATCTTTGCTTTGTCTTCTTTTTCCTCCTGTCCTTTATTGCATGTCTCATGTCCCCCCTCTGAGGTCTTATGTGGCCCCCAAAGAGGAACACCAGATTAGGAAACAGAGTCCCTAGAGAGTGACCTCTGTCCCTGCCTGCTCGCTCTACTGCTGTGTGTGTGTGTTTGGCAGTAAAAGGGCAGATGGCAGTGCAAATTGTGTCTGCCGTACACATGCACATAGAATCATGCAGATACACTCTCGGTGCTGCTCTACTGTCTTTAATCCATTTTAATGGACGGATTACAGCCTATCACAGCACAACTCGTCATTCAACTGGCGTCACCGTGGTTACAAGAATATGACTCATTTCGTCATAACCCTCCGGGCCAATCAGTTAGCTTTGGTTATAATAAATCTGATAAGCCTCAAAAGGACCACAGAGTGGTTATTTTGACGTCTGCCCCTCTTCTTTCTCTGACTGTGTTTGTAACTCTCTCTTTCATCGTTTCCTCTTTCGCTCTCTGATAAGTTTCCTCGTTCAAATAGAGGATTAGTAACTGAGAACATCTGCTTTCTCTCTAAGCAGGAGATTGCAGGTGAGGGGTGTCGTAATGTAGTAATTTGTGGTTTTGTGCTGTAGAGCGAACCAATTCAACTTTTCCTCTCTTAATATCAATCTCTTATCTGTCGAAACCGATTACCAGTGCTCTCACTTTACCAAATGTAATATCTATATTCACCACACTGCATAGGCCTTTTTTATGTAAGGTAACCTGAGATCAGGGATTCTTGTGAATAAAAACACTGAGTCACCAGCCCACCACAATGAATGTAAGTGATAGTTGTAACACAGAAGGTGTGGATCTGTCAGGTCTGCTGCAGCCCTGCTTAGAACCATTTCAGTCAAAGAGTTTTCATCTCTTTGATTTTTGGATGGACTTGCTTTTCCTACTCCCACTGTCAAAAGATATTCAAGTTATGTTGATTTACTAAGGAAGCAATAAACCTGAGTTAGAAGTGTTTGAGTAACTGTGGCGGTGGAACAAAACAGAGACAGTGCAATACTGACATCTGCTGGTGAAGATGGGGAATGATCCTAATTTGAAGTGCTCTTTCCTCCCACTGAGACGTACCATTTATCACTAAGCAATAGGCTTGTAACACTTGCAGTTATGTTGCAAGTATAAAATATGAAATGATAAAATACCTCATCCTGTATTGCTCTTTTCATACACTCCTCCTTGTCACTGGATCTTACACTGTGGTTAAACAGGGTTTGCAACTAAACATCAGCTAAACTTTAAGTAGCTATTTAAGTCCTCACCGATTGATCAAATGTAAAACTTACTGGATACCATCATCACAATGTGTGTGTTTAATTTGTGTTTTTTCCCAGGGAACCCAGGCGGGTGGTGCTCCAGCGGGGGTCCACAGGTCTTGGTTTTAACATTGTTGGAGGGGAAGATGGAGAGGGAATCTTCATCTCCTTCATTCTCGCCGGAGGTCCAGCTGATCTCTGTGGGGAGCTACGAAAGGGAGACCGCATCCTGTCGGTATGAGATAAGATTTATTACAAACAATACACACACATAATATAATACAAGCACTGTCACCATTATCAATAACTCAAATCCTACCATAATTACTGTATAGGTTCTAGAGGGTTATCAAGGGAGTCATCCTGTCTGTTTGTTTTCCTGTAAAACCTTTATTTTCTCTGTACATTATTGATGTGGATCCACTGCTCACAATAACTGAAATCTTCGCTGAAGCTGAATGTTTTTAATTTGATCTGATGCATCTTTGCATTCATTCACAGTTTCTACTGTCTACAGATATTTCATGTAACTGATATTATCTTCTTTGCACATTACCAGTCACCACTAATGGCCGACGCGTGTGTGTTGAAGCTGTATTTTGTGTTCCACTAAGGTGAAATATGGCTTTCATTTTCTTCAATCAGGATTTAGTCCTCAGACTCTAGAGGCAATGCTAATCCCTACAGAATGACTGTGACAGGATTAGGATGAAAGTACTGACATGGAATGATTTTATGCATTAAACAAGCCTTCACAAAGTACACGCGTGTACTACTCATGCACACATTCATGTGACTGGTCACCTGTGACTTGCCGAGATGTACAGTGTTCTCAATGGAGGGCTCATGTGACTTTACATTTATTACTATTGATCCAAGGCATGAGCTCTAATTGTGTGTGTGTGTGTGTGTGTGTGTGTGTGTGTGTGTGTGTGTGTGTGTGTGTGTGTGTGTGTGTGTAGGTAAACGGCGTGGACCTGTCCAGTGCAACACATGAGCAGGCAGCTGCAGCTCTGAAGAATGCAGGACAGACCGTGACCATCGCAGCGCAGTACAGACCGGAGGGTGAGTGCTGCTGATAGACACAGTACATTGGCATCTATCTCATGTACAGATTAATGCAGAAGAACATTTAAATGGAATTGCTACAGAAAATAACAGAAATCCTCTTCTACCTCCTCTTCCTCTTCCTCCTGGCAGTTTACCATAGACACAGCAATTAATGTAATGCTGCCACATACAGTAATACAGTAAATGTTTTAGATGTGAAGCAGTATCATGATACACAAGGTTATATTTATTGTTTTTAATAGTTTTTGGAACTCTTTTTATCATGGTATTTTCTGGTTGCTGATTAGTAATCAATGGAAACAAGATATTTTCTCATGCTTTTTTACACTGAAAGTTTGCAAATGTACCTTCTGTGCCACACACACACACACGCACACACACACACACACACACACATGCACACACACACTGAGGGACAGAGTGAGGTTTCCCAACAAGCACCATCCTTTGTCTACTGGGAGTGACTAAGAAAGGCTGTAACCTTGGAAACCAGGTTATAACTGCTGATTGGCTCATCTAATAGGATGCTGCCATGGTGTGGGACCCGAGTATAACACAGAGACAAATTCACACACACGCACACAGTTACACGGCATCAGGTCTCCTGGTCCCTTTCTGGTATCAGCCATGCAATATTAAGTGAGAGAGGAGCTCTTTGGAGGTGTTGTTATAGGCAAGTCCAGAGCATAATACACTGGTCCACAGGAGGAGAAATTCATTTAAATTATTTAATATGTTTGGTTGTTAAGTTTTAGATGTTTTGTTAACTTATAAATTCTGTATATTTCAATTCAAATTTTCGGAAATCCTGCACAAGTCCTTCATATTACTGTATGTATGAATTCTTTATCTTAAGAGGCCAGTTGATGAGTTAGAAGTTTTGAAAGGTTAATCCAAAGCAATGGCTTGATTCAAAAGTGGACCCACCATTAAACAGGTAATATTGTCAGGACAAAAGTTCTAAAGACGAGAGGAAGGTGAGACTGCTAAGAAGAGTCAGAATGCAGATGAAAATGCACTAGTCGTGAATATGAGGAGGGAAGTGTCAACGTCAACACAAACACCTTTATTGTGGTGCAATTGGGGAGAGCTAGAAGATTTAAGGAAAAACAGTGGAGGAGTTTAAGCCGGAATATCATTTAGATATGGTGCAGAGTAATTAGGGTTTAAGTAAATGCACATGGAGCCCAGATATGGATGCAAATGAATGTTAGCCCAAATAGAAGAGGGCAAAATTCATTAAGATGTGGAAGGCACAGTCAGAACATAATGAAGTTCCCCAGGAGCCACAGTATGCAAATGATTTGGAGGCTTTAAACAGCATAGGGGTGTAATCCATACATCATGCTGAAAACAGTGATGGATGGATTATGAATTCTAAAAGGTCCTACGAGAATGAATTATGAATTCTAACTTCATAAGAGAAAGTGTGTGTTTAAATAAAGATCCTCAATCAAGTTCATTTTCACTATGTGATGATTCAGAATAAAGTAATATGGCAAAAGTAATAAATTACCAGGCTCAAGCTGCTGCGAACAAGCAAGGAGATCCATCTCATAGCTTTCAAACAGTAGGTCCCTTGATTTTTGAATTATAATCAATTTTAATCGAAAGCAAAATCACAAAAAATTCACTAAATATCCACAACTTGTTAATGAAAGCTCTTTGCTATTCTAAACCGTAATGTTGGCCTGCTGATTGGTTGTAGCATCAATGCATTTCTGAGGAGTTTGTTGATCCAGAGTGTTGGGTCAGATCAGCACCATGGACAGCGCCCTCGGATCCTAAAGGATTACGTCACCAAAGATCTTTGAGGATCTTTGAGGCTTCAAAGATGGCCAACTGAAATCACATTTAGTAATCCCTCCTTCCAATCAACATGTTCTATAAATGTGTAGTTGATTTATTATTAAGAAGGAAGATCAGCCTGACAAAATGCTCCTTTTAATGGGCCTGGTCTGTGTTTGATTGACCTCTGGCAGGGAAACGAGAGACAAAGTAAACAACTTGCGCTGCAGTAAATGTCATGGATACACATAAGACAGGTATACAGTAGTTATTGCCACAAATCTTGCTCACCATTAGAAGCCTCCACAAAGGAGTTTTTTTTTTTAACTTATGCATCAAATTGATTATCTCTTTTGGAAAGTCAAAAGAAAACATTCCTTTTAAATCCTGCAGATGCTCGACAAATTAAAGTGTGACAATTGTTTGATGTTCTGTTGTTTTGGCACGGTCCAGCTCTATTTTGGCATAGTTTGGTGTTATATTGGTAATCTTACATTGACAACAGGCAGAAGGTATGAGTGGTGGTCCACCTGGCCTCACTAAGAGCTGAATGTGCCGTTGCCTGGTTTTAAAGTTCAAGGTTTTTCCTGCTCTACAGTCAAGAAACTATATGTGCGCTTCAGCATTTCATGATTTTGTTCACATGCTGGCTCCTCAAAAGCTAAGAGTGTGTGGGTGGTGTGTGCATGCATATGTGTGTGTGTGTGTGTGTGTGTGTGTGTGTGTGTGTGTGTTTGTCTGTGTCGTGACTCTTATTAGTGACTGTTGAATGAACTCTATATCAAACCTTCTGTCCACGCTGTGCTTTGGTCAGCACTGTGTATGTGTGTGTGTGTGTGTGTGTCCATCTGAGGTCCATGTTTGTCCCGTTCCTGTGGTGATGGCATGTGGTGCCCAGCAGTGCCCCCTCTGTTTCACACACACACTTCCTGCCAATGAGAGAGGAGCTCAAAATGACCTCCTCCAGGAGAGGAAAAGTGTCTCTCTCGCTGTGTGTGTGCAGGTCTCCCCCTGTTATTTATATTAAATATGGTACCCGGTGTACTCAAACACAAGACAGCTCTGCGTGTGTGGGTGTGCTAAGTTGGGCGGTTGATTTAAGCCGATGCAGCAGATATAGATCTGTGTTTATTTGAAGTGCAGCAGATGGGGAGGGTTTGTCTGTGAAAGTCTCCATTCTGCATGAGTACTGCCGACATCACCCATCACGTTTCAGGCTATTTTAAGCCAATTTTTGTATATCAGACCTGTGGCTCCAAGATGTGATGTCCCCAAATTCATATGCATTCTGCCAGGCAACTCTTTTTGACTGAATTTTCTCCCAAAATCTCCATCTGCAGGATTTTTTTGTAAGATATTATTTGGTACAGAATAAACTTCACTTGAATTGTGGTGAATTAGGAGCAATTTAATGAGCACATTAAATTGACAGATTTAAATTTTCTTACATATTTACCATCATACAATCATGAAAAACAGACTTCTCCTTTGATATTATTTCTTTAACTTTACAGTTGACCCTATAAATATTCAGAGCAACATATTGTTCACACTGTGTATGTGATGTTGTGATTTAAGTGCAATGTACTTACAGTAGAACGCTTTGAAATGCCAGTTGAGCAGCATTTGGGTAAGGTGAAGTGGGAGTGGAGAAAATCAATCTTATTCCCAAACTGCAGTAAATCATTGTCCAAATATCCACCCACCGAAAGAACCCCGTTTATGAAAATCTGTGTTTGCAGCCACCTCAGTAGTGTTAGGATATCAGGAAAGATAATACTAAACTGTAATAAACTCTACTATGATAACATGCAAGATCAAGTTTTGCACAGCTGCACGGTGTTTTTAACTTCAACCTCAAATCAAAATTATATTGATAATGATCATTTCAACACTTTAAACAACACACAAAGTACTTTACAGATGAGGATAATAAAACACACACGACAGGACAAGGAAACTTTAAAACAGTAGCACAAAATACTTAAAAGAGTATTTCACTGATTTGGCAATCTTCTATGAAATAAAATATCAAAATGAATGTAGAACAACTTGAGATCTTGTCATTAAATTCCATTAATTCTTCTTTTTTGTCAAAACCTGGTGCCTACATTACCCACAATGCAACCCGAACCCTGACATTCCGGCCAAGGATTCAAAACGATTATGCTAAATTGCGGCTAATGAAGCCTTGAGCTGCTAGCCTTAATCAGAGATGGGGAGTGGGCTACGGAGGTCTGGTAAACTCACTTCTTTCTAAATTTATCCCCCAGATTTATTTCATTTTCAAACTTGTAGTCTTCAGTCACAAATGACACTGTCTCAAGTGACATCACCTGAGGCAATTAATCTGATTTAGGGCAGCTCCCCCCTGGAGCCTCACATGCTCCCCAACAAGCGTAAACAGACTCTGATGTGTAAAATAGGTGGAGTCGCCCTTTAAAGTGAGACTGTTTCATTTTAGTTGACACAAGGTCAAATTATAGGATAATGGCACAATTAAGTTCATTTCATTTCCCATCATCCTCGAGCCACATGCTTTAAAGACATCATCCGTGGGTGACCTGAAAGAGCTGAAAAAAAAATGTGAAAAGAATTCGTACAAAGTTACACAAGTAGAGAAGCTAATGAAATGTCAGTTACACATTAATATCTATCTAAAGTTAGCTAACGTCAGCCACCATAAGCTACTGGTTATATTAGACACAGCGAGGCTGCAAAACCTCTGTGTGTATTGAATTTTTTCTTATTTTTTACTAATGAGCTAAAATGTTAATTTGTAAAAAACAGACTAAAAAAATAAAACCACATATAAAAAGTTAGATGAACACTGTATTAGTAGAATAATTAAAATCACTTTTAATTAATTTCTCACCCGACAGTGAATCCTAAATAGATGCCACTCTGGTTGCCTTGTTTCTTTAGTGTTCAGGCTTCAATTCCCTGTTCAATTTCAGTGCAGCTCATTAGAAATAATTCTTGTTGTTCAAAAAATAAAATGTCGCAGTATTGACCATGATCTTCCTCCTGTGCCAAACGTTTCCTGATGTGGGACTGGAAATGCCTGCAGGTTGACAGCAGTATGAGTAACCGGGATTACACACAACCGTCACAGACACACACTGTCACACACATACTGTAGACGCACGACACACACAGAGGCGGTGCCTGTCAGCAGTAACTGTAATACTGAGGCGATGCAGAGA